CAATCTTCGAGAACGCTCGAGAACATTCTGAAAGATACTTGAACAGTTTGTTCGAATAGATAAATATGTGCGCATTCTCTATAGAAGACCTAATTCTCGCATCATGGCCCCAAAGAAGAAAGAACATAGCGATGACCTACGAAGCCTTGTGATCAAACATCATTTGAACGGCGATTCTCAACGAGAAATAGCAAAAAAAGTTCTGTTGAGTCGAGAAACGGTGCGATCGATGATAAACAAATACAAGAATACGAAGTACATCGGAAATCTTTTCGGTCGTGGTCGCAAACGCAAGACAACAACGACGACGGATCAATTGATCCAAAGGAAATTGAAAATCGATCGACGAAAAACAGCGCGCAGTGTTACATCTGAACTGGGAATCGTCATCAGCCAGTCGACTGTTCAACGTCGCGCACATGAAATAGGACTATTTGGTCGAGTTGCTCGAAAAAAACCATATGTTAGTAAGATGGACCGTGTGCAACGTCTCAAGTATGCAAAAGAGATGTTAGAAAAGCCATTTGACTACTGGGATACTGTTGTCTGGTCAGACGAATCAAAGTTCAACTTATTTGGTTCAGATGGAAAGGTGATGGTGTGGAGAAGTCGGAAGGAAGAATTCGATCCTAAATGTACTTTACCAACAGTCAAGTATGGAGGCGGCTCTGTGATGGTATGGGGCTGTTTTACGAAGAAAGGAGTTGGGAAGTTGTACATTTTGGATCGTATCATGGACCGCTTTCATTATCGGGAAATACTGGAGAAGAATCTGATACCATCCATACGACAACTGAGCCTTGGAACGAATTTCACGTTTATGCATGACAACGATCCTAAGCATACCTCGGCATTGGTCAGGAATTGGTTGAGAAATAATGGGGTTAGAGTTTTGCAATGGCCTTCTTCGTCTCCGGATTTAAATCCCATAGAACATTTGTGGGACGTATTGGAAGATCGTGTCAAGAAACGTCAGTCAAAAAACAAGGCAGAGTTGGCGTTGCATCTGGCAGAGGAATGGAACAAGATTGAACTACCAGTCTTAGCAAAGTTAATTGGATCGGTTCCCAGTAGATTGATTGAATGTATCAAGATGAAAGGCTATTCAACTCGTTACTAGACTCTTGGACATTTGTACTTACGTTGTAGAAAACGATGTTTTCCATAGGTGGCTGAATAATTTTGACACGTTGAAAATTAGACAGCTGAATATATCTCATGAAATAAAATACTAGTACGAGGGAGTGAAATCTATGGCACACGTGGATGTTGACTAGCCACTGTGAACTACCGAATGACACTGACGGTAGACTTCTATTGTTAGTCTTTCCTCAGTGGTGAATCAGAGAATGCTAGATTACAGGGTTGGGTGAATAATTTTGGCGGCCATAGCAACTTTCTGGTATACAGCTTGGATTGATGCCGGACAACCAGATATGTGTAATCTCGATCCAGAATGTTTGACAAGAAAAAATGCAAAGTTATATACAGAAGATCGTCAGTTATACACACAAACAGGAAAAATCTTTGATTTCATCAACGATAATGAATATTAAGAAAACAGATGCTCAAATAACCTATTTTAGTTGACGCACTATGTTTTATAATTAATTAAAATTTTTATTGTCTGTAAACAGATAGCAGACAATAATCGCACAAGTATTACTCCCTGGAATAGTTGCATTTCTTCCATCGGGACTAGTCAACGTAACAAACAAAACTAAGCCATGCAAATGTCGAGTCCTCTTCTGCAGAGGAAAAATATCGCTCATCAGGAGTTTAATACAAAATCTCTCAACTTTATGAGTTAAACCGAAATGAATTAGGGAGTATCCATTTCTACTCTTTATCCTATCTGAAAGAGAAAGTGTTCGACAACGTGTCGAGCTAAATTTCAGAAATAGATAACATTGGGTTTTTGAGATATATGGCTACCAATATCACTCGTAGCATCATCGAAAAATAGAATTTTCGATGAAGTTACGGGAGCTGTTGATGAGCTTTCTGTTTAGAAAAAGTAGGTATCTACTCCAATATAATAGCCGAATGAGTTTACAGAGAACTTTCTGAAGTACCATGGCTTTCTCTTCGGGTCATGGTAGTGAGAGATAATGTATATATATATATATATATATATATGTATATAACTTATCTACGTAACAAAGGGAACAGAAAAGATCGAACTCCTGAACTACACACATAATGAACGCTCTAGAAGAAAAGAAGAAGCAATCGCTGTATAGCCTGCCAATTGGTATGAGAACTGACGACTAAGTGCATCCGCTATAGTGCCACTAAAACATATAGGATATTCAAAATTCGAACTGAAATTCATTGGATGAAAATTTTCAGATCTCAGTTGCTGCACTTGAGCATTACAAAGAATTACGGAGAAATGAAATGTTATTTGAAGTTGATTTAAATCTAAAATTTTCATCCAATGAATTTCAGTTCGGATTTTGAATATCCTATATGTTTTAATGACACTATAACGGATGCACTTAGTCGTCAGTCCTCATACCAAATTGTAAACTTTGTTCTCCGCCCTCTTTCTTTTCTTTCCCTGTTTTGGTAAACTACTGTTAGCCGTAAAGAAGGATCCAGGGAATGCCCCAAATAATCATTGGATATCGTTATAAGCCAATGACGGTGAAGCTCGAAGGATGTCGCAAAGTACTCTGTGCCGAGTACAGAGGACGCCACACAATCAACGCAAACACAGAGCCATGGTAGATGTCGCCACCGGTGAATACTGCTAGCGACAGGTGTTAGTATACCGTTTTTTCGTGTTGATTGTGGAGTCGTCTATACTCGGCACACAGGACATTGCGATATCCTTCGAGCTTCTCCATCATTCGGTATCGAGAGATATTTCTTAGATCCTCTATTTACGGCAAGAAATTTTTTAATGAATCATTCTTTTAGCCGTTATCAGCACTCGGTAGAGTCCTGCGGGAACAAATTTTCTCCATTCCCGTTCCCGTTCCCGGGAAAAATATTTCTGTTCCCGTTCCCGAATTTTGTTCTTTCGTTGTATGGGAAAAGTATCATCATTAGTGATCGGCTTTGGGCGACATCATACCTTACGCAACTTGTTATGTGACATAAAATTAAGAAGAAAATTATGATTGGAGCTACTTTTAGCTAATCTTATAATCAAGCTTTATGTTTTATTTATTTTATATAATAAAAACTTATTCACTGCTACATCATCTTTTGTATTAATTTCTGTCAATGTCTTCAACCAATTCGTCAAGTTCAACTTTATCAAAAGCTGATCTTCAAGTTCTGGTAACATCAAATAATCCATTAGTTTCATTTGCAAAACCAGCAGGTGTGAGAAGCCAATGCTGGTCAAATTATACTCAAGTATATCATGAAAACATTCCTCTGGACTTTATTGTATGTTTACAATGCAAAACGGTATTAAAATGGACAAGTGGAAATGGAACTAGAGTGATGAATCACCACAACTGTATTAAAAAGAAACCACTTTCAGAAACTCCAAATCGTCAACGAACGGTCTCATCATATTGTCAACAATCCTCATCATCTACAGAATGTCCATTAATTAAAAAACGTATTACAGAAGCATGTGTTGAGTATTGTGCAGTCGATGGACGTTCCTTTGAAAGTGTAACTGGTGCTGGATTTATTAATTTAGCTAAACAGTTAATATCTGCTGGTGCTACTATTGATACATCTGTTAGTGCCAGTGCACTATTGCCTCATCCAAGTACAGTAAGTCTTGAACTTCTCTTGCAATTTAATATCATTTACTGTATACCAAATATTTTTGCGTCGTTTTCCAATAGATTAGTCGTAATGTTGAACGTATGTATTTGGACTTGAAGAAGCAACTTATTTCTTTATGTGAATCAATCAAATTTTTTTGTATAACTTGTGATTTTTGGTCGGAAAAAACAACAGGTAAACTAGCTGTGTTCTTTAAATAAAAACTGAATAAGTTGTATCTATTCTCTTTCGTTTTAAAGGTATTCACTATGGTGGTTTAAGTCTTCATTATGTAGATGCAAAGTGGCAACTTCGAGTATTTACATTAGCATGTCAAGCTTATGATTATGAATCACAACATGCAATTAATTTACGCGCATTTGTGAATGAAATTTTGGAAGAATTTGGTCTTTATCTAAACGATGATATTTTCATTGTGAGTGATAATGAAAATAAAATGAAAAGTGCTTTTAAAGAAGATGTTCAACGTGTTGGATGTAGTGCACATTATTTAAATAAAATACTCCAACATGCATTCACCAAGGATGATATTAAATGTGACGTTGCCCAAGTATTGTTTAAAACGGTTCGATCTATTGTTACAAAAATTCGTCAATGTCATACACAGTCTCTTTTATCATCATATGTGCAAAACTATTCAGATACACGTTTTAATGGTGTTTATATTATGTTTAATTCTTTATTGAAAGTTTATTATGAATTACCAACAGTTTTAACTGATGAATACAAGAAACATTATTTAAAAATAGATCGTGATACTTTAGAATTATTGTGTTCATACTTGAAACATTTTTTGTGACATTATTGAAAAATTAAGCTGTGAAAAAACACCAACTTTGCATCTTGTTATTCCTTATAAACAGTTCTTGATTAATTTATCAAGTATTACTGATAATGATGATCAATTAATTATACCTTTAAAAATGATAATTGTGATTATTAAATTATGATCTAATGAACAAGATAAAAATCTTTTCAATTTTTGTTGATAGATATCTATTGTCTTTTGT